ATATTTAGACCTAATGCAGGATCAAACACACTCATTTCTTTCAGATAACAAGACAAAGAGCATTTCTACAGTGGTAAAGAGATGACATTTTATTTTGCTTTTCAAAATTCAAACTGTTGAATTTGACTACTTTGGGTGCACCTTGGCAAGTGTAGTCTATAAGAAATTTTTGTTACTGCAGTAGTAACTTTTCAGAACATAGTTGCAAGCCTGCTTTTAATAGCTCAAGGGTGGAATCTCATGGCTTCCCTACATTGTCTGGTTCAGGGCAGGGCAACAGGGTGAGTTGGAATCAGAGCCCCAAGGTCCTCTGACTGTGGAACTGCCACGGAAAGAACCATGCTTGCTGTCCCTCTGAGAGCAGAAATCAGAGAGGGCTAAAGGGGCACCCAAGAGGGGGGAGAGCAGGGCAGAGGATGAGGCCTCAGCCTCCTTTCCTGCTGCTCTGCAGCATATCATTTAGGTCACTGGTTTTCAACCACTGGTCCGCGGACTGGCACCATGCCATGGAGATTTCCTGCCAGTCCGTTGGGGGCCACATCCTGCTCACCAGCAGGAGGGCTGTCTGTACTTCACCACCTATTCCTCAGTTGGCATTGCATTTGCCGGGGGGCGGGGATGTGTGTGCCGGTGCCATGGCGGGGGATGGCCAGAGAAGGGAGAGCCGACTTGGTGGGAGCTGACTGGGAGCCACGCTGCACAGATTTCAGTATTTTGTTCCTTTGTTGGCATGTTCTGCTGCTCAGATTCTGGCTGTTTCGGAGAATTTTCTTTTTCTTTTCTTTTTTTGGTATTGTCTTTGGAAACTAATACACAGGATATTGTATGATGTGTATGGTGCTTTTTGTTTCTGCCTCAGTGGTCCCCAAGGTGGTTTTCCTGTTTTCACCGGTCCCCAGCTGTGGAAAGGTTGAAAACCACTGATCTAGGTGGCCCGAAGCATTTGTCTAGATAAAAAAAATTGGATGCAAATTCTGGAGCTGCAGAAAATGCTGCTGGGCCTTGCACCCTACACTGTATGTTAAGTAAGTCATTGGCATTGTTTTTGCATAGAATTATATACATCTACCGCTTGAAGACTTACCTAAAGTAGTCATAGGCAACTTTGTCAATAAACCCACAGCTGTTACTATACTCTGCTATCTCTCTTTTACATTTATGTTAGCGTAATGAGAGCTGGCTGAGGAGGGACAAAGCTCACACAATGCTTTTAATCATTTACATCTAGTTTGTAAGTTACAGTTTATTGCCTGAGTCTTATCTGTGTGTTAAATTAGCTGACTCCAATTCATAAACAGAGCAGGGAGCTTCTTAATTTGTGAATGCTATTAGGCATATCTAAACTACAAAATGACAGCAATTTCATACCAGGATTAGTTTCATGACTTCCTCACTAGGAATCCTGGGAACTGATGTTAGAAGAGAGTACTGAGCCTCTGTTGCAGATGTGCAGCCCAGCCATCTGTACAGATGCACTCAGAACTATAATTCTAGATGAACAGTGCAGTCTGATACATGTTTACTCAGATGTTTCACAGAATTCAAGGATGCTTATTCCCAAGCATGCACTAGAAGACTATGTTAGCCCAAGTCTAAAGTGTGAAAATGCTTGGGCATCAATGGAAATGATGGAAGCTGGGTGCATTATTCAGCATACTGTATATGCCATATAAATGCAAGTTTTTGATCACAGTGAACTGCTGAACTTAGGCAATCACAGACTGTAAAAATGAAATTTTTCACAGAGAAAACAACAATGTACCTTATATCCACACTGGTATTCAAGTAAATGCTAATGTTTATGAGATAAAGGAATACAGTCCTCTTAGCCCTTATAAAATTATCCCATAGAGATCAATGAGACTAACCATGCTCAGATAATTGCTGTGTTTAGGAAATGCAACAGAAGCAGAATCCCTACTACCTAAAGAAAAAGAAAAAAATCCATTGCGTCTTTTTCATGTTGTTTCTTTTCCTCTTAGTAACCCGAATATGTATGTGGCTGTACTCCCCAGGTAACAAGACCCAAGAGACAAGTCTTCCCACTGAGACAAATAGTGCTGTTGCCAAAGCAGAGCAAATTCAATTCACTGACTAAATCAATATCTACTTGAGTTTTATTAACCACAAAATAGTTGGCAATGTTTGCTTTGCAAACCATTTGTTTGTAGGCACGTTTCACAGGAATTTTATTATACCGTGTTCCATAGAAATGTATTTGCTTGGCCTGAAGCTCCCCTGCCTCTTCCAGTGTTATGTCATCCAATATTTATACTGGCCAGGATCCAAAGAACTGCTTAAGTTCACACTGAAATGTTTTACCTTTTCAAAACAAAACAAAACAAAACAGATGAGTCCACCCCATATACAAAACTGCTTTTGAAATTCCTGCTTGGTTTCAAAAGCAGCCAACTGTGTGACATGGAAGGCTGGGGCTAGGGAAAAACAAGTTTAAATCCCTCTCAGGCTCATGGAAGTAGTTTCATGTTATTCAGGTTCCTGGCCACTGGTTCCTAAGTCAGTATCCATTGGAAAGATAATCTTACCTCAAAATGGAAACAAGAATATTTCCTAAAAATTTGTCAGTAGAGGCTAAGGTGGATCAAAAGATAGTTAAAAAAGATTTGTAGAGCCAGTTTTTAAAAGTAAGGATGTTGGAACAGAGATGTTTGCAACTCCTTTTGCAAGGGTAAAATTCAAGGAATGCATAACTTTATACACTCAAAAATGTTGACTGAGAACTTGTAACAGTAATATGTAATAGCTCTCAAAGCCAAAAATAAAATTTAATAGTTCTTAGGACCAAGCTAGGTATAGCTATATTTGCATTTAATTTACACTTAAAAATATACAAATAGCAAATACTGAGAGGTTGGTAATAATTATGGGAATTGCAATAGGTGGAGAGGAGAGTGTAACCCTTTCTAGTTCTTTGAAGCCTCCTGTCATTGGAGCCAAAGATGATTTCATTCCAATGCAAGTAGCAGCTTGAGATGAGGGATCATCAGTACTGAAGTTATGGGCAGAAAGCATTCAATTCCTCCTTGCCATTCATTGTGATCTTAGTAGTTACGTATCATCCCACAATGACTAATACTAGCATTGTTTGAAATGTGCTTATTGAGTGCATCAACATGTTTAATAGTACATCTATGAGCCAAATATTTGTAGCTGGCACTGGAAAATGCCAGCAGTCTACGTGCTTTCAAAGGAACCAACTGCTTTTGTGTGAAGAAATGCTGCCACAGCAGAAAGAAACAACCCTAGGGAAGTGAGGCAAGCAGAGATGCAACAGACACCTTTCCTCTAAGACTAAATAGTTCTGTGATGTTTGCATCTGGAGTGATTGAGTGAACTAATTACACAGAATATCCAGAAGAACTGCATCAGTAGCTGCTGATCAAGAAAAAAAGCAGGCACACAAAAATGTAGTAGGCAACCTTTAGTTTACTTAACCTAACTCAAACAGCTCACAGGGAGTTTTCTCATACCATCACCAGTGTGCAAATAACACAGCACTGGAAAAGTCTGAAGGTGCGGGGGGGGGGGCGACACAATATGATATAGACATGAGAAATGCAATATTAAGTAGTCCATTTTTTATTTCCACCCCTTCCTGCTGCAGCATAGAAGGGGTTACAGCAGCATACAAGTTTCTCTCTTTCCTTCTCCTACCTATTTTATCTTCACAGGGTAGCTGCCACCAGAAGACTGGACTGAGAGGATATGCCCAGCCTAAGGTTGAGACTATGGGCAGGGGTGGAGAAAAGAAGGATTTGAAGTAAGGCATGGCTGTTGACTCTCGTTGTAGTCTTTATTTAGAGCTTTATTAGGAACTATCCTTTGTGCTCCATGGTGGTGAAACACCATTGATAACTCATAACAGCCAAATGAAAGATACAATAGAAAGGGAGTTTCACTAACATGGGAGTAATAGATCCTTCTGGTTTCTCCCCAGTCCTAGTCCAGGCACTCTTTGAACAATTAGATAAAGAAACCCATGGTGTTGGCACTATAGTATACACCTGTCATGTGTGAAGAGCACCTTGTTGTTTGTATGAAGTATTTGCTGTTTCACAGGGTGGATTATTCTATTTAATTATATTTGAATAATTATTAAAATTATTCTATTTTCAGATCTGTGTAAATATAAGCTTCCAAGTGATAAATCTCTCAAACCTTTATTTCAAAGCACGGTTAGTTAAATTTGTGTGTTCACTGACAAGTGTACAGGTATACAGAGAATACATTTATGGAAAGCCATGTGACACTAACAATAAAACCCCAGCCCTTGATGTGCAAATGTTGCCTCTTGCTCGTATACTTGAGAACTGGGAGAAATCTGGCTCTGTTCCACAATATTGTTCAGATATATACGTGAGCTGTATGTTTATATGCTTGCATGTAAATGGTTTTTATATAATGCACAAGACTGTTGTTAGAGATGTTTGTATTCCTGCAAACCTTCCAGAAAGCTTTCGCTATTATACTAAATTACAGATATACTAAATGAAGCAAAAAGGCACCAGACGTCAGAGAGGGACCTCGCCGTGCCCCCCGCCACCGTCTCGCTCTTACCCGCAAGTGCAGATCTGACACAGGCACTGAGGCGGCTTCATCCTCGCGTCCGTCCTCGGCGGCTCCCCGACGCCTCTCCCTCGTCTTCTCTCTTCCTCCGCTCCGGGTATCCAAGGAAGCACCTCGTCGCCTAGCAACCCACTCAGCGTCCACGCGCACACCCGCAGCTTCCTCCCGGCTTCCGTAATCGCGCGTTCTACGAAGGCGGAGTTAAACCCCCTCCTGCTGGCCGGCCTCTTCGCCCCGCCCCTTAAACCTCGTGGTGCGGAAGAGACGAACTTCCGGTTGTAACAGCTTCTCACCGTTGCCGGTTCGGCGCTGCGCTCTGCGAGGTCTCGTCGGTGGAGGCGTCGGGCGGCGGCCGCGTGAGGTCAGGGCGCCTGTGCGTTCGTGGGTGGGGGTCAAGTGTGGGCGGGAAGGCTGGTTCAGGTCCGGAGACGGTCGCAACCTGAGGTGCCTGCCGGTCCGGCTCTCGCCGAGAAGCTCTCTGGGTGACCCTTGGTCAAGTCACCGCCTCTTAGCCTGATCTTAGCCTCCCGCACTGGGTTGCCGTGAGGGTAAAAGGACGGCGAGAACAAAGAGATCCTGAAATCTTTGGAAGAAAGGAACTGAGGAGGAAGAATGTGTAAGCTGCCTTGAGTTCCTTGACAGAGGGGGAAAAGGAGAGCTTCCAGACAGGAGCTGAGGAGGCGAGGGTTCTAGTCCTCATCTGGCTGTGAAACTCTCAGCATGTGGTCAGCCACAGGCTCCCAGCCTAATTTACCTTGCAGGATCGTTGTGAGGATGAAATGGGGAGAAAGATCAAATCAGCTTCTTTAGGCTTCTCGGAGGAAAGAAAAGAGTTATTTTAGGGTTCTTAACATAGACACTGAACTGTCAAGGAATTTTCTCCCAGCCCATAAAGTGAGTCACCAGCTTTGCATCAGCTGAAACTGACCACAAAGTTAACCCTGATGTGAATTAGAATAGTAATTATGGTATGCTTACATGCACTCTTACTTTGAAAATTAACAACTCTTCACTGGAAGTATATGTGATCCCTATGGTTTATCTGGAGTTCTTGGGTGGGGCCTAGGGCACCTCAGTGATAACCAGTTCTCTGCTGATTATGAGAGCCTCTGGAATGGGCCTCCAAGAGCAGCTCTTGATATAGCTCAATATGAAGATTAGCAAATTGTGCAGCTCAGGCTAATTTTTGCTTGATGGGGGCAAGAAGTCCTGATGACCCCAAAATGACACTACACTGCTAATAATCACTATTAAAGGGTCTGGCTTGGGAAGCTGCTCACTTTGATTTCTCCAGGCATTGTATGTGGCAAAAGGAAATGTATTTGGCTTTTTCTATGCCTGTTTGTAGGACTGGGATCCATGTGTGTTTTGCTTATGAAGCAGTTCTTAGCCTGGTGGTCATGTAACAATTGGCTTGGGCTGCTGCTGGCATGGCTAGGGACATTCATTCTGGGGTCGAGCCAGCACCATTCCCTGAGATCATGGGTACTCCTCAGGTCACTGTGGCTTAGTTAGGATGTTTAATTCTAGTCCTCCTCCTATCTGACACTAATATTTTTGTTTATACTGCCATGGTCAGCTGCATTAAGTCTGTCCTAATGCTTCTGTACAAACTTACAGCTTTTTGAAAGATTTGTACCTTGATTTTTCAGTGTGAAATCCTCCTTACAGCCAAGCATCCAGTCATGGTTCTTACTAGTGTGAATAAGACGATTGGACTTCAGAGAAATACTGCTTACATCAGGAATATTTGTATACTAGCTCATGTGGACCATGGTAAGAGAGGCACCTACGCTAAGTACAGCAACTGTTTCTTAAGAATGGGAGATTCACTGAAATCGTTTTTGCTTGATGTGTTGGTGGCTATAAAGGCTGCCTGCTATTCTGTTGCCTTGCTGTATATTGAGTGCATTGTATTGTTTGCTACATGGTACAAAAGAAGAATCCTGTGTGTTTTATAGAGTAGATGGTCATGGAAATAATTTTGCTTATACTGGCTTGTTTTTATTATAATCCCTTTTCTGGGTGTATTGCTTTGACTTTCTGTTTTCCCATAGGCAAGACAACTTTAGCTGACTGTCTTATTTCTAGCAATGGAATAATCTCTAGCAGACTGGCAGGAAAGGTACAGTTTGAACATTTTTATTCAGAATTCACTATCCATATTTATTCAAGTCTCTCAGAATGCAGATTCAGTTCATGCCTTCCCTCTTCCTTCTCATCATATAGCTGAGATATTTGGATAGCCGAGAAGATGAACAAATTCGAGGCATTACAATGAAATCAAGTGCAATTTCATTGCTGTTTGGGAAAGGTAAAGTAGTTAACACATTCTGTGTATACAGTTAGACTGTTGAATATTGTATCATCACAAAATACAGTACTTACATAAGGGCCAAGATTTTGAGTGATGGAAAATAAAATACTGATTATTTTCTGTTGATCCACATATTGTAAAGACCAGTCCACAGGTAATGTGAACTCATGGTCAGGTGCAGGGCTGGGGGACGGATGAGCCATGTGTGCCCCACCAAGGCCAGCTTGCCATGGGCTGCCCTGAATTGCTAATGCGCACTCTGTCGCCTACTGATGATGATGCAGGGAGGCTCTGCTGGGAAATGTGTGTGCAGGGATGATTCTTACCATGTACTGTTTTACCCAGCAGAAGGGATTTCACTGGGTTTATGAGAACAATTATCTGTGTACACAGTATCCCCCCACAAACTCACCTGTTCCTATTCAGAAATGGCACATGGGCACATGCCTGCCCAATTTCCAGTAGAATTGAGAGTGCTGGAAAAGGGGGCACCAGGGGGGAGAACACAGGATCCCACAGATTACCACTTAATGCCAGATCATGATTTCTTGCAAATATAGGCAAATGTACCTCTAAAGTGCTTGCCTTTTAATAATGCTTTCTTTGGTTCTAGATAACCAGGAGTATCTCATCAATCTAATAGACTCCCCTGGCCATGTGGACTTCTCATCAGAAGTATCCACAGCTGTCAGAATCTGTGACGGCTGCATCATTGTCGTAGATGCTGTGGAAGGAGTCTGCCCACAGGTGATGTAAACAGTTATCTTGGCTAAAGGAGGAAAAACACTAAAATGTTCTAACTTGATAGTATCACTTCCAATCAGAACACAGAAGGAGAAACCTATTTTCAGACTTACTGTTGAAAACACAGTGAGTGTCATATATCAGATCTCAGATGATTATGCTGCTGGGATGAATCTGAAATACCTGGGGGAAAAGCATTTTGTACATCCAGTGTCTGTCAGTATATCTTCAGAAGGAAAATTCTAAGATCTGACTTTAATTAAGATTTGCAACATGGAATGACCCTCACATACATACATACATACATACATACATTTATTTATTTATTTATTTATTTATTTCAAGCATTTGTATCCGATCCTTCTGACAAGCGCTCAGGACGGCTTACATAATATAAAATTTGAATAATACAATAATAAAACCACAATTATTAAAACATATAAAACTGAACATCATAAACTAAAAAGAAAAGGAAGGAAAAAATAGAAAATAGAATTCAACCCCAGTGGGTGACCATCATGCATAATACCAAACTGTATGTATGCAATGGCAGGAAATTACATGCAAGAATGGAGGGGTGGAGGAAAGGTGCATACAAGTATTCTTTAATTATATGTTCACAGTAGGTGAGAGTTAATCACCAAGTCATATTCACAGAAGCCATTAAGTGTTCCGTGCATTACATCACTGTGCATTCTTCCCTTTGTACTAGACTCACGCAGTTTTGCGACAAGCTTGGCTTGAAAACATACGTCCAGTCCTGGTGATTAATAAAATAGATCGTCTCATACTGGAACTCAAGTTTACACCTCAAGAAGCCTATTCTCACCTTAAGAATATCTTGGAGCAGGTATGAAAGATTTCTGATTGGCTAGCTATCTGTAGTCAGCAGGGATGTTGGCATGTGTGGAATGGTGAAAGCAACAAGTTCGTATGGATCCTTTTGGACCCCTGGTAGCACGCTCTGTGTCCGACTTTCGGTATTTGGAATATATTGAAAGCAAGAGGGCTTCTGAGAAGATGGCCTGCCTGGCTTGGCTTTGACTTGTGATTTCGATAGTTCACTTGCTGGTTAAGAGTGTCTTTCATGGTTATATTTTTTATATTATGTGTATGTATTTTAGAAATCTTACCTTAAGCTGCCTTTAGCGCCTGAAAGATGGGATATAATAATGGACATAAACGAAATGAATTTGTCTCTAGGTGAATGCAATCACTGCAACTCTCTTCACTTCTAAAGTCCTAGAAGAAAGGGCTGAGAAAGAAATAGAGACTCAGTCAACTTCTGATTCTGCTCATGGAGACCAAGTATATGACTGGAGTGCAGGCTTGGAGTTCACAGATGATTCTCACCTTTACTTTTCACCTGATCAGGGAAACGTTGTATTTGCCAGTGCAATTGATGGCTGGGGATTTGGGTAAGTTGATAGATACCTGTGAATAGTTTGACCAAAATTTTTATTGTTTAATGCACATATCGATCTGTTCAGCATCTGAGAACCAGCACATGCCAAGGAAAAGTACTGCAGTTCATATGTTGATGCGGATGTCCTCAAGCTTGATTTGATGAGATGAGCCTACCCTAAAGGGGTATATGTTTTTTGGAAGGATGTAGTTGTGATAATAAGAGGTAGAAAGACAAGCATTTCTGCTATGCAGTTATAATGAAGATCTTATAAACCAGGAAAAATGAAACAAGACAAGAATTCTAGCAGTTAACTTTTTGTGAATAGCCAGAATAGCAATAGCATATAAACTTTTAAAAAGATGTTTTATTCAGCCAGGATTTGGTTAAGCGGAGACTGAAATACTTTGCTGATGGTAAAAAGTATTTTTAGTTGATCTGGAAAAGGCAGGCAAATAAAAAATGCATATATAAATAATAGGAATCTTTTTGTAGCCTTCTGAAATACAGGACCTAAATGAAACCAGTGAGTTGCTATTTCCTGGCTTTCATTAGGCTCCTGCTATACAGAAGTTCAATTGTATACAAGTCTCTAAAAAGTCTCATGGAGCTCACTGGATAAATGTTTGGGGCCTTAGAGGGTGGTGCTTATCTTACAGCACAATCCTATGGCTTCCTGGCATATGCTCTGGAAGGTCACAGAACTGTGCCAGCTGCCCCTGCAAGGATGCAGGTGGGTCTCATAGAGGGCAAAAGGAGGTTGCTGAGGGCTCCTTATTCCTGTCTCTCTCCCCCACTTCCTAGCACTATATTTAGAAGGCTAATTGCTATCACAACAACATGTCATTAGTGTGGTTACTCATATATGCAAACTGGATTCCATCAGTTTGGGGTGGCCTTCGGGGGCTCTTGCCCCATCCAGTCCCCTAGGTTTACCACATAGCAGGCAGCATTATTATTATTTTATATCTCTATTGGGGCAAATATAGCTGGCCAGCATCCATTTCCCATAATTCCTTTAGGCTGTATTGTATCAGGACATAAAAGCAGTCTGGGCAGGAGAAGGTGGTGAACCTGCACTCTCAGCTGACACTTTGCACTAGAACTAGAACTTGTATTTAAAAAGGGGGGAGAAGGTGATGTTGGCACCTGGAGCCATGTCAGTCCTGATGGCGCCTCCTGGAGCCCATGGGCAACCGGCATTTGCCTACCTATCTCAGTAGCTGATGCCTCTGTGCACTGATCAAACAAGGAGCAGGTGTATGCGAACCAGCCCATATTCCACACAAACGGGTTAAGAATCTGCAGCACACGAGTTGACATTCCTTCTTCCACTAAACTGAATGTGAGGCTTGGTGCTTGAAATAATGTCGTCTTACACATTATGCAGACATCTGTTTCACAGGCATAGGAAATAGCTGTACCTGTCCAATGTAGTATGATTACCATGTAAGTTGCCAGAAATGCTCATTCTGACCACTGTTTTTATTGATGCATGCCTGTGCTAACCTCTTGTTTCTTTGTTTCCTAGCATAGAACATTTTGCTAAGCTATATAGCCAGAAGCTTGGAATTAAACCTTCAGTTCTGATGAAGACCCTGTGGGGGGATTACTATTTAAATACAAAAGCCAAGAAAATCATGAAAGTTGATCAGGTACTACTATTAGTCTCTAACCCTAACCCTGTTTTTGCTACTCCTTTTTTCCTATCCCCCCCCACCAAAAAAAAAAAAAAATGCTCAAGCTATCGCCTGTACAGAATTTATACTTTTCTGGGAGGGGCCTAACTGGTGATGATCAAAAACATGTTTGAAATTTGTCACCAGTGTGCAGATTGATGATACCGGGGGTGGGGGGGGGGGCAGGGGCAATACTCTCTTTTTGTGTTGCACTTGTGGTTAAAGATTTGGACCAGCCGTGCTGATTACTTGGCTGACTCATGTCAACTTTGATATGTGGGTGAAGAAGGAATGTTCTGTTCCCTTTCAGCAGAAATTTGGGGTGGTTAACATCAGCCCTCTGATTGCTGGGCAGGGACAGGTGCACGCCCACCACTGTGCAGGCACATCACCGATGCATTTGTGGATTTGAAGCTGATGGCTTTTCCGTATTGGTCCAAATGAAGCCGTTGACAGACTTGAGTCTAGACCCAAGAGGGCATGATTTCCAACTCTGTAAACTGGCTGCTGGAGCATGAAGAGCAGTGGCCTATATGCAGGACATTATTCACATATAATGCTGGTCCTCTACCAGCTCCACTGGCTTCCAGTTGAAGTCTGGGCCCAATTCGAGGTGCTGGTTTTGACCTATAAAGCCCTAAACAGCTTGGGACCAGGATACCTGAAGGAGCGTCTCCTTCCTTATACGCCCTCATGCCCCTTAAGATCTGCAGGAGAGGCCCTGCTCCAGGAACTCTCCCTGAAGGAGGTAAAGAGGGTGTCTACTCAGAGTAGGGCCTTCTCTGCGGTGGCGCCCAGACTATGGAATGCGCTCCCCAGAGAGGTTTGCCCGGTGCTGAATTTATATTCTTTTCGCACCAGGTGAAAAGCTTTTTATTCGAACATTGTTTTCGAATTAGTGATTTTAGAAGCTAGCGGTCGCTTTTTAATTTTATCTAATTGTATTTTTTCTTACTTTTTATTATTCCTTTTTATTTTTATATACTGATGTTTTATTGTTGTTTTAATGTTGCAAGCCGTCCTGAAATGTTGTTGTAAAGGATGGCATATAAATGTTATAAATAAATAAAATACTGCTCTGACCAGATAGGAAAAAACTATTCCTAGCATTTATCCTTCTTCTGGATGATCCAGAGACTTTACAGTGTCTGCCAGTCACAGAGAAGGATGGAGCTCATGCTTTTTCTCTTCTTCAAATAAGGAGATCTGAGACCTGCGACGTATTTCATGGCAGCTCAGCCAGGCTAGTTTCCCTTTTGTGGTGGTTTTTTAAAAATTTATTTGCAACTTGCCTTTCATGTGAAAGAGTATCACGTGTATCTTACAGCACCTTGCCCACCATGCCTGCTGCATCCTAGATCTTTTGGACTTCAATACCCATGAGCCCCAGTTGGCATGACCACTTGTCAGGCGTGCCGGGATCTGTTGTTGCAAGCGTTTGGCAGGGACCACATTGGGGGTGGTGTCCTTCAGTATGGATGGCGGGATGTGGTCCATTCTCCTGGCTTGTTCTGCCGTACTCGTAGACAAAGCCTTAGTGTCAGCTGCCAGTGTTTATGCAAAGCTGGAGTCCTGTCCAGTTCACTGCACCCACACCATTTGTGCATGCGAGGGCAGATTGTGTTCCTTGGGCGTAGAGCTGTAGGATCCCTCGGCAGACTTCCAGTGCCCATAGTGGTTTGATGAAGACTGGGAAGTAGGGTGCTGTGAGGATCTTACAGTGCATCTTCCACATGCAGGTGCTGCAGACCTAAAGGATATGCTATGTTTAACTGCTGCTTTCTTCCAGTTGAAAGGAAAGAAGCCTTTGTTTGTGCAATTGGTACTGGAAAACATATGGAGCCTTTATGAAGCTATTATGAAAAGGTAAAAGGAAAACATTTCTTACTTGATGGCAACAATTAGGGAATCTTGTAGCCTTACACTTCTTTTGGGCAGGCTGTGAATTGTTTGTTTTTTAGGCTCTGATATCAGAGTGTTGCAATCTGATAGATGTAACTCTGGATATTATGTGGGTGGTTGATCAGAAAGGCTAACTTCCAGGTTTCATATTGTTGACAATAATGGAAAAGTATGTCCAAATATATCCTTTCCAGTTTTGTTTTCCTGCTGAAACTGGTATGTTGAAATATTCTCAGTTGATTAGGTGTGCCATCCTAATTCCATACATATGCTTTTCTTTTTATTTTAGAGACAAGGAGAAAATAGATAAAATAGTTTCCTCTCTGGGACTGAAAATTGGTGCTCGCGAATTGCGCCACACAGATCCGAAGGTTCAACTTAATGCCATTTGTAGTCAGTGGCTACCAGTATCGGAGTCAGTTCTTTGTATCCTTAAGGAAACTTTTAAGTTTACTATTTACTTTAAAGGCTATAGTATTTCTTCAAATTAGAAAATAACCCACCAGTTCATGGGAAAGGGTAGGTTTAGGGGAGTGTTATTCCTACCTATTTTGGTAGCAAAACATGCTGTTGAATTTATACAGTAATTGAAGGGGCTGGGCATGAGGGAAGGGGAATTGAAGCAGTAGAATTCAGAGCGATACAAACCTAACCACAACTGGATAGATTTCAACTGTTTCTATTGATAAAGCAGCCGAGGGAGCTTCAACTATGGGGTGATATAGAAATGAAATAAATTATAGTTCCTTTGCCCACTTTCCTGGGTTACCCAGTGTTTCCAGGTATCCCTCTCCCAAACCATTTAGTGTCTGCATTCCCTAGCAAGCATTAGCTTTGGGGAAACGTGTGTGCATTGGATGTGTATGTATATACCCGCAGCCTGCTAAAACAGAAAGACCTGGATCTCTTGCTGTTCCTGGAGACTGGCCTGTGATATCTGTTCAACGCCCAATCTGTATCTTCTCCTTTAAACTATACGTGAAACTGTAGGAAACTTCTGTTTGTTTCCTTAGCACTGTGCTTTAGCCATGGTCTGCACTAAACTCCCTAGTCCTCTTGATATCTCTGCTGAGAGAGTGGAAAAGTTGATGTCTGTTGGAGCGAAAACATTTGACTCTCTACCCGAAGAAACACAAGACCTGAAAGCTGGTGAGTAACTTTTCCACTCTCTCTGTAAGACGATCCTAAAGTTCTCTTCAAATAAGCTTATTCTACAATGGTTAGTGGGAGAAGGGAGAGATATTTGCTATGATAAATTGTCCCATCCTGGTGCTGCACAATGTCTTAAAACATTTATTGTGAAATCTGGGCAGAATTCAGCTTTTTCAGCTTGAAACTAAAGGAAGACTTACAAAACATCTTACATAAGGGTTAGGGTTTCCCTCCTGGATCCACTTACTAACTTGTCATTTTGACAAATGCGTATAAAGCCAGAGACTTTCACCAAATCTTGGAAAGACATGTAACTCTTTCGTTTTATGTTTGCTCAGCGTTTATGAAATGCAGCAGTGAAGAAACTGCCCCAGTCATTGTCTTTGTTTCCAAAATGTTTGCAGTTGACGCTAAGACATTGCCACAGAACAAGCCAAGGTGAGAAAATGGTGCCATTTGATCTCCTCCTGCTCCAATGGCATTAGACGCGATGCAGATCTAGATTCCTTTTGCTTTGGGCCTCATAAAATTATTTGCCCTTTTCTAAAACTAGGTCAACTAGTTACAAGAGCTGGTTGGTAAACATGAAGCAGGCTCTTATGTTGCACTAGGTCTTGAACCATTTCTGTGCTTTGTCACAATGTGATTAATATAGAACCATTATGGGTGGTATCTGACAATCGTCTTACTGGAAACGGCACACTAGTGGGAACAGTGACTACCTCATGGGAGAGCAGCACTGGCTAGCTAAAATTACCGCTTCTGCAGCGGGACAAAGTCAGCAGATCTCCTTTCTGAGACCTCCTCTGTCTTGTTCCATTTTGGAAATTGTAATTTCATGTACAGAAGGATACTCATTCTTCCAAGCTTTGGACATCAACCTTATGTTCTCCTGTTGTCTTGCTGATGACTTCATAGGGTTTTTTCAGCTGCTGCCGTTTTCGCTTATTGCTCCCCACCTCCTTTCGTCCTTTACCCAGTAAGTTTAGGAGTGTGTTTCAGGCTAGTACAGTCCCTCCTGTGTAGAAAGCCAGTCACTGCAGCAAAGACTTCCATGCTCAAGTTGTCTGAATCTCCTTGTGCTGTGTGCAGATTTTCAAGCACAATTATTTCTTTGAGCGCAGGAGGAACATGTGGGCCTGAGAGTATTCCCTAAACTTGCTGAGTTAGGAAGTGAACAGATCAGGAATGGAGGATATTCTCATTGGAGGAGTGTTGCAAGGGAAGGGATAAAAGAAGGCTTTGAAAGAGGCTCTGTTCTCCTAGTCCACTTCTTCAGGTCTGCATGCCTCACCTCCCAGACATGAGAAAAATGGATTTAATGCTCAATAGTTTAAGCATGCGTTGTGAACTATCCTGCATAGATCTGTCCCGTTTCACCAGTGGATCCGCTGGTAAATGAGCACACTCTAGATTGTGCCATTTGTGGTATCTCGGTCCTGAAGGACTGAACTGCGGTGGCAGTGGTGTGCCTCCAACGAGCATGATTGCCATCACTTATTTTGGAGGTGCTTTGATTTCTGGCCTGAAGATGTGCTGTGTATTTGGATCACTAGATGGTGCTAGTCAACTGTCTGTAAGTGCATGTTGATAGGAAGAGAGGGAGAGGCAGGGTTGCACAATTTACCAGCCAGCAGTGTGTGCTGTGGGGATTTTGTGTCTTGGCTAATTCACACTGCTTTTCCTGTATATGACACAGTAGACTAAATGAATGCAAGGTAATTGAATGGGATCCTTACTTTTTGTGCTTGCGTTCTGTCTTGGAAATTAAGTGGTTGCTTGACCTAGGATTTGCTTTCAAACTGGTATGTCATCTGGTTGAGCAGTATAGGAAAGCCAAAAGCACAGCAAATCTTTTGAACCTCTGCAAAGGATCACAAGACAGCACTTGTTTTTTTCTAGAGGGAGTTTAGCAATTTAAGTGCCAGTGCCCTTCTGAAATTTATTAGCCTTTTTTTCATAATCTTCTTTCCTACCCCCCAAGTATGTGCTTCTAGTTAGAGATCCTGATCTCATAAAACTAGATCGATGTGGACAAGTTACACATTCCTTTTATGTTCAGTGCACAGAATTGGGATCTGTTTCAGCCCTAGTTCTTAACATTTAAAGGGCTCCGGGTGCTTGAATGGAATTTGCATTGTTAAATGTGGAGGTACATTTCATGGGCATCTCTGGTAGAAATGGTTAGGAGACCATGAAGCTGAGGTGTTGAGTCCTGCCAAGTGTGCTCCAGTCCAAGTTGCAAAATGATTGCAGTATTTAATACTGCAGTTTGGTATCATTTTAAACAATTGCATCATGAAATCGTGATTATAACACAAGTCACTTTTTTTTCTGAAGAGGTATTTAACATTGTTTTCTCTAAGCCAGCAATTGCTAACCAGAAAGTCTTTAATTTTAATAACTGCTTGGTATCTCACTTCCCACTAAGTTAAAAGTTTAGATTGTGTTGACTTCATTGGGGAACTTAAGAATGTGTTTTAACTCTCATTTCTTGAAATCAATGCTACCTATAAGTGTCCAAGTTTGGTGAGCTCCTCGATAATAATTTAAGTATAAATGCGGGGTGCAGCAGCTTTTTGACTTCAGAGCATTGCTGGGGTGGTGGGGAGTGCCTGTGAACGAGTCACACGTAGCTCGCTTCATGCCACTCACTATTGCTGTGCAGCATAGAACTGTAGTAGCCACAGGAGTCCCCTCGAACGATCGTGACTTGTAGTCATTGCTAGAATTATATTCTTGTGTAAAATTCTCTTAGTGGGCAGAGGCTCATGAACCTGGGGCAAGCAGCCTTGTCCCTAGCACATGGGATGCCTCCAACTCTAAGGCGGCCGTATAGAAGGAAGGCTTCGGTTGTGCTCCAAAGTAGCCTTGCTCAGCTGGGCGACTTCTGGATGTGTTGGGCTACAGCACAGGTGGCATCAAATGTGGGGTACAGTTCTTGTTCTGAACTGTACAGTTCCTATTCTGAAACCTTCTGATGCTACTCTCTGGACCAGGTTGCATACTTCAGCTTCACATTTTCTTACTGGGAAGAAATAGTTTGCAAAGCACCTTGAGATTCCGGGATAAAAAGTATTTGTTGATAAATGGTGGTGTTTGTAAAAGGTGGCAGACACTTCCTTTCTGTGCTGAAGAGATCTTTTGCTCACCATCATGAGTGCTTAACAGCATGTGTGTTGCTGCTTTACCCTGGGCTGTCATACGTCCGTGTGGTGCATGTAACGTTAGTGGTGCTTCTGTTTTACAGTGGCATTAGTGAACAATGGGCACCCTTTGCCATGGTTTGGCCTGGGCCCCTGGAAAGTCAGGGTGGTCTTATATGAGACAGAGTTCAGTAGAAATGAGCTGGTTTTAAGTTGTTACCTTGTCATGGGAGTGAAACAGAGATGTGGTCTGTAGCCAAGAAAGCAAATCAGAGTGGAAAAGTGAGAAGCTAGGACTGACTTTGTAGGGAAAGAAGATGGGTGAGTTATGCAGAGAAGGCTGTGTTCTCACAGTCTGGTGGTTGCCAGGATGGTCAGAAAGCTAGGCAGAGGTGAGAACAGTGTCTCCGATAGATATGTCACCCAGGTGTCCTGCAGGCAAAGAAGATTGCTCTGTTTGCTGCCATGGTCTTACAGGCCCTTTGGCTGATCAACAAAGAGAAGAGGTGGTTGTTGGCATGTTGCAGATCTCCATAACCCAGTGAACCCAACTGACAGATTGTGATGTGGCACCCTGGTGATGTCTGTTCTATTTTATTGTTTTTAATTTTTATATACCGCCCTACTCTCAAAGGCTCTGAGCAGTGAAAATCCGAAGTTATTAAAATTGACTAAAATCAGCATATTAAATAAAGCTGATATGAGAACTAATCTGGGAAGGCCTGTTGGAAGATATACTCTAATTCCCTCTTAAAGGTTTGAAATTGGGAAATCAGATGCACCTCTCCTGGCAGACCTTTGCATAGGATAGGGGCAACCACTGAGAAAGTCCTCCGGGTAGTTGACGTTCATCTTACAGAAGCAGACTCAGGAGATTATCCCAGAGGATCTTACCGGGTGAGGCAGAATGTATGGGCAAGGGTGCTCCTGAAGGTATTTTGGACCCAATCCATAAAGGGCTTTAAAGGTAATTAAATGGAGGTGGCTGGTGGCTGGATAGGACAGCCTCCCAAATATGTGTTTCTAGATGTCAAGCTTTTGTACAAGCCCACAAAACAGTAGCAGACGTGTGTCGCTTAAGGGAGGGGAAGAAAAAAAATTATACAAATCATCCCATTATCCAGTTTCCTAGGGGCAAGTAAGAATTGCCTGTAGGCAAGTAATTATTAAGAGACTGTGATGCACTATTGCTGAATGTTTTATGGTCTAGATGAGGAATAGTTTGGGACTTCTGAATACCCATGGAAACCCCATGCATAACCAAGTTACAGCTTGCCTTTCTCCTAAGTCAGATCAGCCGCTTGCCTTCACCATCTGTGACGAGTAATATTACTGTTTATTGATAGTATACTGTCAATACCCATGGCACTCAGCAGAGAAGTAAGGTGAGAAACGCTTTTCACTCTTACTATTCGCAGTGCCCAGAGTAGCTTTACACTCTAAAAAAAAAATCCCATGAAGGGAAGCAGGGAGGCAAAAAATGCATGTGCTGTTCCAGGTGCTTAGTTTCAGCTTCTGTAAGGGATGATGATTCTGCAGTTACATCAGCAGCTTCACAAAAAAAAGATGACAAGGCAGAGAAATGGGTACAGAAGCTGGCTGCTTGTGAAGAAGTGGGTGTATATTTCAATTCATATTAGGAATATGAATATGGATGGATTTTCTCTTGGTTATGAGGCTGCTCAAGTATTTCTGAGGTTGCAGTGCCTTAGGAAACAGAACTGTTGTAGTGGATGTACATAACCATTCCTGCCTAGCCCAGGTATCAGCCTCTTTTGAGAGTGATTATTGGGGTTTTTTTAATTACCACTAAATTGGCCCCTATGCTACTTCCAGCTAGATTACATGCATCCATTTCTGTCATGTAACTGAGATGCTGGGGTAGTTGAAAATGTTGAATACTGTTAGCCCAAAGAACAACTGTAGTAGCTCTCTATACTAAGCCTTCAGGGGTACGATTCTAAATGCTTAATTTGCAAACATCACATTTCTAATAAAAGAGAGCTTAAAATCATCCACGATTTTAATCACTGTGTTCCTTTCATAACACTTTAAGAAAGCTTTGAGTTTTTGTGAAATCAGTTAACCTACATATTCCTTTTCTGCATCTTACTGTAAGACCTTCCAAAAGGCCCTGTTGAGTTGTCTTGACCATCTGAGATACTGCACAGCTAAAACCTGCATGGTGATGATTCCCCCTACACACTTTTGCCTGTAGCTCATTCTTGAATTTCTGGAGGAAGGTCAAAGCAGTTGTTTTTTTAAAAGGGCTTTTGTTCTGGCTGAAATGAATAGATGAGCTACTTGACTGGCTACTGGAATTGGTTTTATAGTTCTCAGCTCTTCCTGTTGTGATGTTTTATGTCTGGCTTTGTTACAACATAAAGAATGGCTTTGTAAGCCACTTCTGGATACACTTCCAAAAAGTAAGTAATAGAATTATCCTTAGAATTTCACAATAAGTTTTATTTCTCTCTTCCCTCTGCCTAAAAGCCTTCCTTTTCCAAGAAAACCTTGTCATAAAATTGCTATTTTCCCTATCGATTCTGCAAGAGATTTCCTTCTGTTTTCTGTTAGCAGCTTAAGCCCAGAGGCTAGAATAAGTTCCATCCCTCAGCACTTTTATGTTCTCCTGTTCCCTAAAGGGTGTATTTTTAAGTGTTGTAAACAATACTGTTAACCATGTCAATAAGCAACACCATTAGCCATGTCGACTAACAGCTTTCCAAATGGGTTGCATCAAATGAAAGTGAATTATTCTTCCCCCACCCCACTTTTTTTTGGTAGACCCCAGTGAACTCTGTGTTGTAGTGCAGTCAAGTCTCTTGGCTGTGAATAGTGCAACATTAATGGTTTCTGTTGACCCCGTTGAGCTCCATCTATTAGTGGGCAAGGACAATGTTTGATGGTACATCCTGTCAGAATTGTAGGCTAGTGTTTATGAAGAGCACCTGCTTATGGAATTAACAACACAAAATTGGGTCTCTGAAGAGGAAGGGAATCATTCATTAGGATTGCTTTGAAGTGTGGTCTTTGTTTGCAGGGAAGACAATCTACATATGTATCCAGACAAAATGTGTGGAATCAATTTCATGCAGGAAGTGGTCTCAGATCATCCACTGGATATTAATTGTAAAAGAAATATCTTTGAGTAGCTCACAGTGTTTCTTTTTGTTTTAATAACACATACAGGGGGTTTCTTTCTTACACGGTAATTATACACTAAAGCAGACTATAACAACTTTCTTTTTTTTTAATTTGAAATTCCAATAAGCTGTTAAAGCAATTAAACTAATGAATGATATCACAAAGTAAGAACAGCTTGTTGGTGTTATGTCCAGTTAGTTGATTGTTATCCTATTACTGCATGTGTGTTCTGCCTGCAGCTGGTCACAAATTTCTGGCATGTACTAAATAAACAAACAAACACTCTATTTTAATATATGACAAATGGAAGGCCACTTACGGTTTGGAAATGCTATTGTATCCTACAACAGCCAAAACTCTTTCATAGTGTTACTGCCTTGCTTAGGATATAAGGCAAAACTTCTACTCTGTTTTGAGTGCAAATGTAAGCCAGTCACAGGACTGTTGACATGATGAATTTATTGAAATGCGAGTAAACATAAACTGGAGTCTTCCTGGGTGGCTTCCGTTAATGCTGCCTCACAGGACTACCTGAATATTTTTGGTAGCTGTTCTTGAGAAATTGAAAATATGCCATGAGCTTGCTGAAATTAAATTTTCCAAAAATTGATGCTGTTTCTACTGGTATATAGGCCTCTGTCACAAGAAGAAATGGCCCAAAGGCGCGAACTTGTAAGGCAACGGCACGCTGAGAAACTGGTGGCTAGTCAGGGGCAAGCGTCAGCACAGGAGGGGATAGGAGGCAAACCAGTGGACCAAGCTCTAGAAACAAGAGAGACTGGAGGTAAGCAAAAGAATAGGTAAGCGAACACGGGAACCTGTTTGGCTCGTCCTCAGTCCAGATGTCAGGTCCATGTGTATATCTTAAGTGCCAAGGGGAGAGCTCATCACAGTGGATCCTTTCCAATGTCTGAGAAGCTGTGTGTTATTGGCAAACAGGCAGATGTCAGTGGCGGCGTCGGGGGTGCAATCTCCTTTCTTCCTGCTTGCGTTGGATATCACACAGTGAATCTTCTGAGCAGTTGTCTAGTATCTTGCCATTCTGTATCTTGCAGAATAGTAGAAAGGTAATCATCCTTGGCATTAATTTCAGATTACTTGCAAGGAATGCCCCGCTGTCATCTGCTTGTAGTTTGGAGCACCTTCCTTTCTTCATTGGTCGCAGGCTGTCTTCTGAGGGGTTGTGGGGGGGGGGGGTTGAAAGGGGACTCTAAAGGGTATCTTCCGTTTGAGGTAAGTGGGTTGTGCAACGAGATGGAATGTCTCCACGAAACCTTAGCCTGAGTGAGGTGGAATGGAAATGTCCCAGGAAGAGTTCTAGAAGTAGCTGAGGGAAATTGGTACAGCTTGTCCAAACTGAGTGTGCTTCTTGATGACATTTGTGGCAAGGAAAGAAAGAAGTTGCAATAGGAGCAGAATTCTTCTTTCTTTGGAAAAGCTGCAGGAGTCAGTCGTGTGGGGTTTGCTTTTGCTTTTGTTTTTGTATCAGTCTTAATTTAGATTGGGAGCTGGAGGCAAGAAATGAACACCCTGTATACTTGTTGTAGTGCAAGTGAAGCTGAATAGGTAACCTTAGCAGGTGGAAACCAGTTCTTTCCACAGCTTTCCACATTTGTTTCTACTCCATTGTGGAACAAGCATCAACTGCTCCTACTCCTAGCTGACTGTGTACAGTTGACTTTTAGTACTTTGCTGTGTTCAGCCCTAGATGAGTTTTAGTAATGACATGCCAGCAGCCGAATCTTGTGCATGACAGTGACTTCCTAGGAGTTGGCATGGACAGAATGTGTCCTCTTTTCAACAATGCCCTGGAGTGGTTGTGAGGATATGCCCCTTTTGTATCAAGGAATAAACGGTGAACTATGTTTGGCAGTGCTTTCATCCTCTCCATGTAACATTTATTTCCAAATGTTGGATTAATTTTTCTCTCATGCCACATGCAGTGTGACTTGATTTACACTGCATTATATTATATTAGTGCCACGAGAGCTGTGACTTGCATAATATTACAGGCCCAAGCCATGTAAAATGAACTCACGTGCTAGACTCATTTCTCTGTACTGACCTAGGTAAATGTAGACTAGAGTTTGTGGGAACTACTGTTATGATGTCCTTGCCATGGTTGTATTACCGTACGAATCAGAGTGATGGAAAACACTCTGTTTGGTCTGTTCCAGAAACTTAGGCCTCAAGGGGCACCTTCTGGCATGGGAAAGCACTTGTAGATCCAACTATGCAGACTTTTTTTTTTTTTAAATCCAGCAAGTAATTGCTGTTGGACATCGGTGGTATTTGCAGGGGGCCAGGGGTTGTTTGTTTTAGTCATGTGTATTGTTGTGACTTGCCTGGAGCACAGGATGAAGCAACTCAGAAACATATAAACAGCATTTTATCCCTCTCAACTTTTTATTAGGGGAGGATCAGCTACCTGCCACTCAAATGGAGGCTGTGAACCTGGCATCTGTGCAACAGGAACCTGAAAATAAGGAGGCATTTGTTGCTTTTGCGAGGGTGTTCAGTGGAGTTGTGAAAAAGGGACAAAAGCTCTTTGTTCTTGGGCCAAAATATGATCCTGCTGAATCCTTACACAAGGTACGCCAAGGTTTTTCCACAACATGGTTAACCGAACCTTTTCTCCAAATTGTTGCCTATTAAAGATTTTAAAAAGCCTTGAGGGCACAATCTTATACATGCTTGAACAAAAATCTGACAACTCCCAGCATGCCCCAGCTGGACTTCTTTCTATTTACGCATGCACAGGGTCATGTTCTGAGGATACCGCCACACATTTGAAAAGTTGTATTGTTTTCAGCTAATGTAAGGTTAACTGAGCTTTTGTGAACCAGATAACAAAGTTGTTTCAAAGCAAAGAAGTTCAGAGAGCTGAGCAGCTCCAACAATAATCCCAAGCCAGTTCCTTACTACTTGCATCCTAACCCACATTTATGAAAGGCTAGGTCCACGATATTCCAGCTGTCTTCCCCAGAAAACCAGGGGTCCTGGGAGAAACATCCAAGGCTTTGCTGCTGTGATTACAGTGAAATCAATTGCATTGAAATGAGTTGTACTCAAACGCTGGGGTCTTCCTTCCAGGCCCAACGCTGAGGAAGGTGTGAAGGGAGGGCTTTCTCAGGCGTGGGCCCCCAGTATTATTACCACTGCTGTTACACTTTCATACTGTGCCACAGCCCATTGGGCTCTGTGGGTGGTTTACAGAATTAAAATATACATAGAAGCAATAAAAACAAAAATAAAAGCAAAATGACCTCACTGCAACCCAGCTGGCGCAAGTTTGTCATCTTTTCCGCACCAGGTTAAGGCTGCTGTCTTTTCTGAGGCTTTTAACAACTTACTCGTCCACCCAGTGACTTGTCAGGTGCTTTGCAGAGTCACTCTCTTTTTTCTCTTTCTTGGTTATTCCTTGTTATTGACTGTCCTTAAGCAGTTTAAAACTGTTTATTTTTTCTGATTTTCTGATATTTTTATTGTACTTTCCCCATCTCTTTTTATGAATAGTGTAAACTGCCCAGAGAGCTTTAACATACATATATACTTTTAAAAGGCCAGGGTGACTTCTTTTATGTTTTATGTTTTATTTATTTTATATTGTTAATTTTAAATTGTTATTTTTGTATTTTATTGTATTTTATTGTGTTGTAAGCCGCCCCGAGGCTTCGGCAAGGGGTGGCATAGAAATGTTATAATAATAATAATAATAATAATAATAATAATAATAATAGGCAGATTAATTTGTTTTAAAGCCAAAGCGGTTTCATTCGAGTAGAGTCAGCTTGCAGGGAATCCCCCTTGCTCAGGCATGATAAAATGGAGGCAGAACCAGAAATGCACTTTCGATTGTCATCAATCATTCCATGATCTTCTTCATGGCAAAAAAACTAGAGCATCCAATCATTAAAATGAAGCATAATTGTTCATATTTGTTAGTGATGTTATATTGAAATTTAGCATGTGTTCAGTAAGTTCAGTATTTCATGGCTAAGTAATGAATGGGGTTTTTAAAGTATAAATAGCTTCTGTTTACATTATATGGAATATATTATGGCAACAGTAATTGTAGCATTTTGTTCAAATAAAATGTGTTACCTGAACTGTATTTGCTAATGAATTCTGCACTGATATTTCACATTGGCAAGTGTGCTTCCATTATCTCAAGTTTGAAGGCCACTGGCCTAGGCTAAGAGCAGGAATGAGAAAGTAAACACCCGCATGCACCCAGAAGTGATTCCTTTGCAGCTGGAGTCAGCAATCAGATTTACAGGAGTGATGGTGGTGGGCCAAACCCCTTTCAGCTCCCATTTCCCTCTGGGTTGGCAACCAGAATGAAGCCGATTGTGTCACTCCTGCTGAACCTTCAGCTGTTGATCACTCTGGAGCTTTTTGGCTTGTGGAATCTGTCCCTTGAAAAATGCCTCTCCTTTCTGGCTATTCTTCTTGCCTTAACATACTTTTGTGGAAGCTTCTGGTAACAAAGTAAGCAGAAATAAAATAAGTAATCCGAGAATTTACAGGACTCCGTTTTCTTTACTGCTTGTAATCTTGCAGTGAATTTTTCTTTCTGCTGCTGCTTGGAATGAAACCTCAGAAAACATTCTTCTTTGTTCACAGTTCTTATGTTTTTGTTTTTCAAAAAAGTGTGTCCAGGAGCAGGGGCTATTAGTAACTTTTCTCTCTCTCCTGTTTCCTTGCTGCAGCTTCCTCAGGGATGTTCAGCCGCAGATGACCTCCCATCAGTACCCCATTTGACCTGCTGTACTGTGAAAGATCTCTACTTACTGATGGGAAGAGAACTAGAGGAGCTGCAGGAGGTGCCTTCGGGGAACGTGCTAGGTGGGTGTGCTTTAACTTTTTCACTCTGCCCTGCAGTGCTGTCGCAGGCAAAAGACGCATTTCTCTGATTGCCCTTGCAGTTAGATTAATTGTGAGCAGTAGGTTCGTTGTTGATTTGGAATAATTCATTTCTGCACTGCTCTTTAGCCTGCAAAATTCCAGGTGTGGTTATGAAGATCTTTGACTACTGGGGAGTGTAACTGTGCAATAAATAAATTCTTATAAAATACAGTGAGACAATGTATGGTAAATATACACAGCAATCCAAAGCAGCAGTTAAGCATCTTCATTAGCAAAGGGAAGCTACATCTTTTCATATGATAGGGTAACTAGAACAGAATTAAAGTGACCCTGTGGGTCATCCAACTGTATGAAAGTGTCTTACATTAAGATAGGCCATTGGTCCCTGTGGCCCAATCCTCTCCATTGATGACCAGTTGTTTTCCAGGGGCTTAGTTGAATCTTGGACCTTTGGCATAGAAAGCTTATGCTTTACCATTGAGCAGCACATACAGAAATAAACCAGGTTCAGTCCCGTGGCAACTTCCATCAAAGGTATCTGGAGCATCAAGGCTTTTTGCCTGAGTCTGTGGAAAGCCAGCACCAGTCAGAGAACACAATACTGGATTAGATAGACCAATGCTCACTGATAGCTCACTGAAAGGCAGTTTCATATATACAGTGGCTATTCTGCATAATCAGACTCCTCGAAGGAATGTACACAAGGAATTCTTCTGAAATTTTCAAGGTGAAAAAGAAGGCTTGTGATGCGGTTAAAGAACTCAGTCTTCACCTGTATAATTGCAGCGGGTAGAGATCACATTTTTGAAGTATTTAACTGTGGCACTTCAACATCCTATGGTGCATGTGTTTCATTCCAGCTAGAATTCATGCTTGCTTAAAAGCACCCATGGTGAACAAATTTCTGTGCCTGAACTGTTCTGGGTTCATTCGTATAAACATTAACCACTGATTAAAAAGTTGTCCAGATTGAATACATTTTTAGTATATGCCTAGAAAGTGGTAAGACTCAAATGGGTAGCAGTTTCTGATGTATTTATAATAGACTAGTCCTTTTCATCACTGGCATTAATATTGTATATTTCAAGAACTAGATCTTTATCTCTTCATAAAAGATGTGGGAAAATCAATTTACTTTCTAAATCTTTGTTTACCATGGAAACTTAAAACCCCTTCCAGATGCCCTTCCCTTACTTGATTTTAAAATGCTGCCTCAGATCCCATGTGATTCTCATTTCTTTTTATCAGCATTGGAAAAATGATCAATATCAGCATAATTCTATTTTATCAAAACTGGTTTTGATTAGGAATTTTGTTATAACCTTTGTTGCATGTTTTAATTATTGCCTGTATTCCGGTATCTTACATGTGTAGATGTCATACTGCCTTTGATCTGAAATTTATTTTTGTGAAATCCAAGAAATGTCTGAAGAATCCATTTACTTTCCAAAAGGCTAGAATTTTAAAGATATTACTGCAAAATGCTATACATGCCTCTGAAATAAGCCCTGTTGAGACCAATGGTACATTCTCCTTGCTAAATATATATATAGAAACAGAGCAAGTCAGAAGGGGCCTCCCAGGCCATCTAGTCTGACCCCTGGCTCCAGCCAGCCCTGCTTATGACATGCCCACCATATGCATGTCAAGCCTGTCTTTGAACACCCTCACAGATGGGTCCTCAACCACCTGCTTCCATACCCTCGGGGTCCTAACTGTCAGGAAGTGCATCCTGGCATCTAGATGGAACCTTGGTTCCCTGAGCTTTGCTCCGTTGGAGCACATCTTGCCTTCAAGTTACCATATATATAGGTTACCATAGCCTTCATATGGGGGTGGGGGTGTGTGAGAAAGTGAGAGAGGGACAGACCAACTATCTATTTGGGGGAATATAAAATATGTAGAGCTTTTTCCTTCATTATGTATTTGTGTTGTCCTGAAATAAAGGGGTCAATTAATTATGCCTCAGAATAGCCCCTTAAAAAAAAACTATCTAAAGACAGTGGGGGTGGGTGGGTGGGTGGACTGCAACCCTGGGCCTAACAAGATGCTGTCCTTGAAATCGTAGCTGGATTTCCAGTCTCTCTCAAATGTTAGCCACTAATCCACGGGAATAGTCCCTTCCCTGGCAGCATCACCCCCATCTCCCACCCACCCCAGAAAGGGAAAACTGGGTATGTAGCAAATACACACAAGTTTTTCCTTAAAACAGGTAAGCAACAGTTTGGGAGAGATTTTCATCTGGAAAGGAGCACAGGAGGAAGGGACGGAGCCCCCGTCATGCCGCACCGTGAGCCCTTCCCACATTCTGCTTGGCTGTCTCTTCATCAGTGTTGTGCTCTTATTTAAAAAGACAGGTGATTGGATCATAATTTTTTCTTTCCTCTAGTCAGGCTCTGCATATCTAAGACATATGGAGGGTTCAATGATTGTTTCAAGATTTTTTTCTTGAGATGAGGCTTTCAGCTAAAAGATAAAAGTGAATCAGTGAGTGGGTGGATTATTCCCGCTCAGGAATTATTACTGGGAGTCCAGGCAGGCCACACATGCAATTGTATCCTTACATCCCTGCAATATAAGCCATAGCACTGAATTTGACTATGTATTTTTCATTTAAACTATTGGTATATTTTAATCTGTTTGAATAATTATTAGATCACTACAGTTATTTGTTACAAGCAAAAGAGAATTAAACAAGCTTAGCTAACCACATTTTATAGAATCATTCTTAACATGGATCATCAAAATACAAACTTTATTGACTTGGCTATAATTAAGACCAGATTTAGCTTATGCTTGTCCTTCCATTATGATGTTAATTGAGAGCTACATGATGTGATGGATTTGATTAGCTAATCTTTTATCAGCAAACTTCTGCCCATTGGTAGAAGGGTGCTTGGGGGCCTCACCTGTGTGAAGCTGCTCTCCTAGTTCCATTGTGAATTACAGTCTGGTTTTGGTTTAGTTGGCACAGAAAGGCAGAATCAAGGTGGCAGTTCTCTTTAAAAAAGGAAAAACTTCCCTATGTTTTAAAAAAAGAACAACTCCTTACTAGTAGATAAGTAGTCCAGAAGAGACAGAGGTATAAGCTACTTTTTGAATTAGTTTTTTAAACCATAAAATTAGTTTTTTTCCTTAATGGAAAAGGTTATTTAAAGGTTAAAGGGTTATTTAAATATAGCTCCCACTGGCTGCCCAGCATTCTACCACCTCATCCTCCTCATGGTGGGCATGTCGTGAGCGGAGCTGGCTGGAGCTGGGGGTCAGACTAGATGGCCCGGGAGACCGCCTTCTGACTTGCTCTGTTTCTATGTTTTTCTGTGTTTCCTGTGTGTGTAGACCACACCTGAAAGGAACTTCTTGTTGCTTTCAGCTGTCAAAGAATAGAGGGGTTTTGTAAATTTCCACCTGCAAATGTCATAACTACTATTAAAATATCTTTATTTAACATGTCCAACAAGTACATAATTCTTCTACACTGCTCAGTGCTTTCTAGAAACAAGCATTAATAGTCTAAATCCCAACAGTGGTTACTTGATGGGCTTACTGTTTTTCATTCTGGTGGATTTTAGACAGGTTTTAAGCAAATTAGAAGCTGCAGGCTCCCAAAAGAGGCAGAGAGATTAAGCTGGTGCTTAACAGCTCTCAGGGCTAGTTCACACATGCAGCAGTTAAATACAGATGTGATTGCTGACCAGAGCTGATTCATATTTTACCTTTTCCCCATAAGTCCACATAACTGATAAAAGGTGGCTTTGTTTACCTCACTTGATGCTGATGCTTTTGAATGTATGAATCCATTCTGTGTGGAAGCATCATTTCAGTTATCAAGTTTTAAGCTTTTTCAGTAAACACTGGAAACTAGGCCATTGAAAAAGACAAATGCCATTCTGTTGGCAGTTCTTGGTTCAGGGTAAGGATGCCAGCCACCTCTGCCCACAGTATATGTGTGCATTACATATTTTCTGAATATAACCCATCTGCAAGTGATGATTTGTTCAAGATGAGTGAACACTGGGAAACATAATGCAGATTTGGTATCAGATTTTTAAAAGAAACATTTGTTTTTCCTTATGCATAATTGTTTTCATAGCTAAGGGATCCAAAGCTGTTGCAAATTTTGATTCCTTTCTCTTAACGACATGTTGTAACCTTTCAGTGGCATTTGTGTGCAAAAACCAACATTGCACTTCTCCCTATTCCTTTTTTTTAAAGCAACAGTTGCTACCAGCAAAGATTCCCCACCCTGAAAGTTTAGGCCAGCCTTTGCCCACTGCCATTCAGCTGTGTAGGACTACAGCTCCCATCATGCCTGACCCACACAGAAGGGCATTGCTTGGTTGGTTGTATGGGGTTTTGGGCAATGCGTATTCCTTTACATTGGGGGTAGACCCCCAAGCAGCCTCTAGATGTTCTAAACTACAGTTCCCATAAGCTCCAGGAAGCATGGTCCATGGTTTGGAGTTGTGGGAGTTACAGTCCAGAGGACATTGTGTTATCACCCCACCAGTGTATGTTCCCCTAAATATTTTACAGGTGCCTTTCACAGTTAATCTGTGTAGGACAAAAATAGTCAACGGTTGTTTTTTTAACAGCAGAAGAGAAACAGTTAGCATTGTTATGAGTATAGTGAATACAGCACACTTTCACAAGATCTTTACATAAACCATGAAAGATAACTCAATGTTGTTCTCAGACTGTGGTGGAGCTGAGCCTGATGGAAGCTTCTCAAAGCCTTCCTAGTTAAGTTTCTCAGTTTATAACAAAGTCTTCCTGCAGGTTTCTCAGTTTAGAACATTTGTCTCTTGCTGCTACACTTCACAAGAATTTTAGTATTGATGCAAAATATATAGATTAACCAATAAATAGCAAAATATTCTGTATGCTGGGTGACAAATATGGATAAGGGCTTTGTGTACTGCAAGGATTTCCTGGGAGTCTAGTACTTCTGTGTATGCCGTATACAAACACACATTGCA